CCATAAAAAACGATAATTTGACTTACATACATATAGCCTGTCTGAATTGAAATGGAATCAACCTAGGTATACCAACCATGTTTACAAAAAAAAATTTCTTATTCGTTAAAAAAATTTACAAAAAAAGTAAGAATCCGACAGTAGTCGGCCCCTTGTAGCAATCTTTTTAATCAACACTGTTTTAAAAGTGCAATTCATATTTTTTCGAATTCTTGTATGTGATGTTGTTCCCTACGATCACACAAAACTATTAAACCAATCAAGTTTATGAAAAAAAATTTGTATTCGTTAAAAAAATTAGTAAATAAACAAGTAAAAATCTGGCAGTAATCGGCCACTTAAAAAAGCTTTCAAAAACCGTCCAAAAATTTTTTTTTTCTATTACAAAAGTTTAGATTTGTTTATGATCACCTTAGAAATGATTAGCAACTTTGAAAATATTTCTATCTCATACGGTTTCATAGCTATTCAAAATTGAAAAGTTGCCGACTACTGTCTGGTTTACCCTAGTTAGTTATTTTAATATTTGTAAATTTCAAGCATATTTAAAAATAATCAGTTACTGGATACATTGTGCTTCAGCCGGAATGATGCATTTTTTGAAAAAATATTTGGTGAAAAATTTTATCTTAATGCTGCCAACATGTAACAAGAATTTCAAATTTTTTTGAGTGGGGTCAGATTTTGCATTCTTACTCCGCTAGGCCCTTTATTATTTACGTTTTAATTATAAAAATTGGTTGTATTTATGTGAAAAAGGAACTACAGATAAATTTTGTTCATCTTAATATTTTTGAATTAGATGTGGCTAACATTTCAAGATACCTATAAGATACTACCAAGTTTTGTTTTAATCTGTCAACATAGTTTTGTGATATTTCCTGACAAAATATTACGGGCAGACATATACCTACATACATAAATACATAATTTTTTTATTGGAATTTTTGGAATTGTTACTTCTCCAAACAAAAAATTAAACATGACTTTTAAAATTCTAAGCAATGTACAGACAAAAGTCTGATTTTATTTATATAGATTACATCCTAAACTTAAACGAAAAGGAACGTAATGATAGAAAGAAGTTACAAATAGATGAAAAAATTTTCTGTTGGAAGTAAATTCTAACACTATCTCTCTTTATTTTTGTTTTAATACTTTCAACTACTATATATGCAATGAATTGTAAAGAAATATTGAGATTTATTAAAGGCAAAGGTAGGTAACTCTGCTTCTGAGTATTGATCAGCTTGCGCTTGCGCTTCAATATATACCTGCAGATAGCATTGCATTCATAAGCTGTAGGGAAAGGATCATTGCACGATACAACTTTTTCTTATTACTGTTTGAGTTCATTTAGATCCATAAACACATTATAGCTCTATTGGAAAAATACATGTCCTTTTACATGTTATTTAAACTGTTAACATACATATGAATTTGAAACAGGAGTTACACGTATAGATACACGTTTTTATACGTACTTATATACTAATTAGTATATAAGATAAACTTGTATTACAATAGAACATTATGTATATTACATATTATTATATAAAACGTGTTTTTACATACGTAATTACACGTGAAACTATGCATACAAATACATATACATAGAATAAAATATTAAAAAATAAAATTTTCAACTTATTATGGAGTATTTTATAAGATACATTGAATTAAATTAATTAAATGTTTAAAATTTTTTGTCCATAAGTATCGTTATACTTTCTGAGAAATGCAACTCACATAGGATAATTCTACAAGGAAAAAAATTCATCTCAAAACATGAAATAACATTAATCTTAAATCCTGTGAATTATAAGCATGTTTAAATTTGACATTATAGTAATAATTACACGCAAAATCTTTGTTCAGGAATTATTACGAAATTTCTTCAAGAATTTAGAATATGGAAAAAATCTGACATTTTTTTCAAAAAACTTCAATATATTCATTAAAGAATTTTCAAGTGTTTTTGTAATTGCTTTGAAATAATTGTCTCGAATTCTAGAGGTCTTCAGTTCGACTACTCATGCAGGGAAATTTCTTTCCTTAATTTCATATTTTTCTATTCTTAAACCAGTTTTGTTGTGTTTGATTTTGTAAAATTTTATACCTTGAAACTCCATAAATTCACATCTCTGATTTAGAGATTTGTTCATTTCACAACTTTTCTGATGTGGATTACATTGTTTGTGATTTTGTCAAAAATTGTTTAAATAAGTGGAATTTGGCAGAGTACATCCCTGTATTCGCAGGCAGAACTTATATCATTTTCTTTTGATATCAGAAAACCTAATCTATAAAAATTTGTACTAAAACGTGTTTTTATTAAGAAATATTAAAAAAATGTTTACATTGTGTGACGTTATGACAATTTGATTTCCGTTCGTAGTTCCTACCATGATATAACATGTAAAACAAATTGTTCATTTTATGACCATTTTATAAATTTTGATAAAATGCATACTTTAAATACATCAATCGATTCGTTTTCATGTCAGGAATGTAATTTTGACAAAAATAAATTATAACTTCGATAAAAGAAAAAATTATTTTAAAAAATTCAAAAATCAATTTTTTCAAAAATTAAAAAATTGCTGAAAATTTTATTTTGAGATATTTTTGAAAATTCTTCTTTCTGATTTTAGATATTCGTGACCGTAATACACCTACAAAATTTTATCAAAATTCGTAAAAGTGTGTAAATACATCCATACACACACATACATCCGTACATTTGTTCCTCTTGACGAAATATGGGGCAAAATTCCTCATATGCCCAGGTCAAAAAATGAATTTTCTCGAAACTTTGCCAAAATGTTACCTATTATTTTTAGTAGCAGTATAATTTTGAATTATTACTAAATTTAATAAAATATTTATTGAGTTACGGAATTTCAAACTTTTGACGTTTTTGAAAATATCTTTTTTTCGATTTAATATATTGATAAGTAAAATTAATTAAATTAAAAATATGAATAGTGATTCTTAAAGGGTTTTTCATGAGCTACAAGTTGGTGATGTAAAAAATTTTTTTTTCTTTTAATTTGACCTTGAAATTCAAGGTCAAATTCTTAATTTCAATATATCTTAAAATCGGTTTTTTTTTATTTTTTTCTAACCTATCCCAAGCAAAACTTTTTAAAGTTCCACTCTGATTTTTACATGGCTCATAAGAAAAAAGATAAGCTTTCCATTGGGATAGGTTAGAAAAAGATAAAAAAACCGATTTTGAGACATATTGAAATCAAGAATTTGACCTTAAATTTCAAGGTCAAATTGAAAGAAAACTATTCTTTTCATCACCAGCTTGTAGCTCGTGAAAAACCCTTTAAGAATCACTATTAATGTTTTTAATTTGATTAATTTTACTTATCAATTATATTAAATCGAAAAAAAGTTATTTTCAAAAAAGTAAAAATTTTGAAACTCCGTAACTCAAAAAATATTTTATCAAATTCAATAATAATTTATATTTACACTTCTACTAATATTAATAACATTTTTGCAAAGTTTCGAGAAAATTTATTTTCACTATCCCAGTGAACACCAAAAAACTATTTCATAAGTGTTACAGATATGGAACAAATCTGTAACAGTTGTGGAACAGTTTTTTGGTTTTTTTATGAAATACAAAAAAATTGTTTCGTAAGTGTTACAGATATGGAACAAATCTGTAACAGTTATAGAATAGTTTTTGGTGTTCACTGGGATAAAGTTTCCTTTGAGAGGAAGCAAAATTAATTATTCTCTATGAAACTTCGTATTATAAGATATTTTAAGGTCGCTGATGACGAATTAAAATCATATTTTGTAAATTCAAAATGTCAGAACGAATATGGCGCTCATAATATGTAAAAACAGGCGTCAAGTTGTATATTTTTGTAATTCTCTTTGTGTTCATTTCATGAGCACTCTGCTTCCTCATAGAGATAATAATAATTTAAATATAATGAATAACTTTACATAAATATAGGTTAAAAAATTATCAGACCTGGGTCCAATAAATGTATTTTTATATACTCTATAAGATGGTTATAATAATTTAATAATTAAAGAAAATAGTTGAGAAAATTATTTTTTCCATAATTTTTGGTTTTTAAAATACCAATAATTTCTTCACATCTGATCACATTAGGTTTAAAAATATGTCAATCGAATCGTTTTATTAATGTTCTCTAGAAGTTGGTTATGAGACTTTTAAAGTCACCTCTACATTTTTTAACAACATTTTCAAAAAAGTCTTACACTGAGAGAAAAGTTGCTATAGTATTTGATAAATCGTCAACCGAAATTTTAGTATTTACAATTGTAAGACATTTTGGATTAGTAACAGAAATTAGTATAATTTTACGAAAAGTCAGAAGTAGAGATACAAGGAAAGGGGTTTCAATATTTGAAACTACTATATCAAAAATGCAGAGTCGCATAAAAAATTAATGTCAGAACGCACCAATAGCTTCTCAGAAATGTTCTCTTTCCTTTTCTACACTAATTTCTTACACTAACGATAATACACAAACATAGAACGACGAGAAACGCTACGCACATATATAATAATTAATGATAAAATAAGAAACACAGACTTTCTTTATGTATACTAAACAGGCAGATTTTTCTGTGCTTGTGAGAAACTTGAAATTATTTTGTAAACTATTTAGTAATAAAAATAAGATTAAAGAATAATCAAATATTATATTATCTTTTGAAGAACAATTTTTTTTATTATATTTTCATATAGAATCTTCTCAAAATTTTATTCTAAAAATAAATAATATTTTGTATTTAAAAATTAATATAGATGGTAAAGTAGGGAACTTGTAAACGAAGCTGGAGAAACAGTTAAATTTACAATTTTTCTCTTAGAGTAGTTGTCGTACTAAAAGTTTGAAACTTTGAAACGACTATAATTATGTCCTATCCAAGTCAAGTCAGGCATAAGCAATAATTTGGTTAATATTTTATTTAAATATTCTTAAAAAAGGACCACTTACGACTTGAGGGTTCATCTGCGATTCCAGTGTCATCTTGGAATTCATCATCTGATTCAGTTCCTGAGTCGTGATCATCGTCAGTCTGAAACATAAATTATTTTAATATTTTTGTAAATTAAAAGGCCTATGTACGGTTATTGAGCATGTTTTTATTTTCAATTTGCCGACTAGTTTTAACAAAAAGCAAATAAATAAATTATCTTAATTTAATAACTTTTCCTCTTTAGAAATTTTGCATAAAATTTAGTTATGTACTTTAAAACAACACTAATAATATTAAGGTAAGGTGGGATGTTACTAATCACTTATGGACATTAGAGTATAAAAATGTATTTAAAGAGATATCAAAAAATGCTTAGGACCGTTTGAAAACTTGACTTTTTAGCTACAATTTTGCTATATATTATTTTTCTGTAACTCGATTTTGACCCAGACATTAGACTTTATTGAAACTTGTTACTCGGGGGTTTTTGGGGTCCCTGATTACGAATCTAAAAGTCATATTTTCAAAATTTTAAAATTCAAAATGTCGTAACCAATATGGCGGACATTTTTTTTAAATGCTCAAATTTGTATAAAATGACAAAGAGAAAATCAATTTTGTTTTCAAAGAGTTAGTTATCTTTTTGGTTCACCTTAAAAGAAAAATTGATTTTCTCTTTGTCAGTTCCCTACTTAGCTCAGTTAGGATGTTAGGCTTATGTGCGCCGATCACGAGTTCGAATCCAAGTCCTCCTAAATTGAGGCTCCGGATCTTAAAAGGGCACTTTCAGCATTGATTTTAAATGGTAAAAATACCATTTTAAGATCCGGATCCTCAATTGGGTAGTAAACTTCTTGGCGCAAAATAGCAACTTGTTATATAAATTATAAAATAAATTCTTTTTATATCATTATTCACACATTATAGGTATCAATAATACTAGATTAAGTAATGTAATGTCTGAGGCAAATTATTTAAAAATTCATTAGATTCACTTAAAATTTGTTACTCGGGAGTTTTTTGGGGCGCTAATTACGAATATGATGTCAGTTTTTAAAAATTCAAAAAAGTAGAAGATTAGAAAACGCCATATTGGATCCGCCATTTTGAATTTCTAAAAACTGTTATCATATTCGTAATCAGCGACCCCAAAAACCCCCGAGTAACAAATTTCAAGTAAATCTAATGAATCTTTAAATAATTTGTCACAGGTACCCGGAGTGCAGTCACTGCATATCTATACTTTAAAATAATTTTTTATTTATGTATAAAAAAAAAATAATTTTTTTAATGAAGAAATTGCTTTTATTTAACATAAGTAACGTAGATCTGGAGCGCTGAAATAAAATTTTAATATTTATTTGACTAAAATGAAAAAATGTGTAGTTGTGGGTACCCGGGTATGAACACAAGGGTTAAAGTCACTTTTTTGGACAGTCTACGTCAAGGAAATCTTAAATTAAACAGATTCCACTGTTTAGCAAATTTCAAGGTTAGATAAACATTTTTAATGGCTAGACAATTAATTTCAAGAGTTGGACAATCATTTTTAATGTCTGGACAATCAATTTTAAGAGTTGGGCAATCAAAAACAGACCATTAACATTTTTTTAAGTCATTATTTTGGACAGTAAACGTCTTGGAAAATTTAAAACAATCAGATTCCACTTTTTTGCAAGTTTCAAGATTGAACAATCTTTTTTCTTCGTTGAACAATCCATTTTAAGAGTTGGATAATCAAAAACAGACCCTTAACAAATTTTTTATTTAATTTTTGTGACAGTGAACGTGTAGGAAAATTTAAATCAAATAGATTTCATTTTTTTGAAAGTTTAAGGGTTAGACAATCCTTATATTAATAGTTGGACAAAAAACTTCAAAAGTTCAAGTTTGGAAAATAAGTCCTTAACTTTTTTTTTATTTATTTTGGACAGGAGACGAGGAAAATTTAAGTAAAAAACAAATCAATTTTTACAAATCTTTTTAATGTTTAATATGTTCTATAGTAACGATTTTTAACATTGTAATTCTGTAATGAATGTAATTTCTGCATGAATTTAAACCATCTTTTGAATTTAGGTAATTAAGAAGATTCCTACTCGTTGTATGTTGGCCAATTTTGTAAAAAGTGTCTGTGTTTAGAGAAAAAGTGGTTGAAAAATGTTTATTTACCTATTTCACGTCATTTAAATCAGTCAGTGTCGTATTTTGTCGGTCGATAATTGTAACCTACAAATTTTACAGACCTTCCAACGCCGTTAAAACAAAAAAATGAAATAAAAATATAAAATTCGTATTGTGTTTTAAAAATATCCAACTACTTTTTTATACTTGTCAATGTATATTTCATACAGGGAAAACAATATAAATATTTTGTGAATAATTCTCACTCTAAATTGTGATAAATTATAAATTCTTATTACATCGAGTTATTACAAAAATAAGAATTATATAAATATACGACTAAAATTTTTAATATTGTTTATTCAAATAATATATTAGATTTGAATTTATTCAAGTAAGTTGATAGTTTAGAACATATGTTCCATATGTCATAAAATTTGAGATTCCTAATATCATTTTTAGGCATAAGAAATACGTGTTCTTCACAATACTAATATTCGGATTAGATATAATACCAAATTTCAGTTTTAGTGATCTGCTTACATCTTACGTCCGATTCCAGTGATAGTTTATGCCTAAATCTCAGATTTAATCTCTAATTTAGAGATTAATTTTTTTCCGTGTGCAATTCAAATATTTTACAGAATTTGTAAAAAAATGTCACTTATTATGGGTTATTTTTCAACTTTTTGTGACTAATAAAAAATATAAAGAACAAATTGTTAAAAAATAATAAAAATGTAAGTGTATTACATTTTTATTATATATATAGGTCCAAAACAATTTGAGAAATTCATATTTCTTATTGTTATATATAGTTATTTTTTAACATCATTTTTTATTTTATATGTTTTATTCAGTAGTACGTAATCCACACTTTGATATAAACAAAACACGATAGGAAAAATTATTTTATTTATTTAATATTTTGATGTTTACTTTTATCATGCATTAACCTTTATGGGACTGAGGAAATAACACCTTCTATGGACGGACGAGGCACCCGGGTACCTATGTTTAATTTGTTGACGATTTCTTATTATGGATATTATTATTTAACTATAGTAACTAAATTACATATTTTATAAAAAAAATTGTGTGCAGTACTATAAAAATTGTTTAATGACATTTTTCCTAATTTTTTTAATAGAAATATCTACATTTATCTGCATGAAATGTATAGAGGTACCCGGGTACCTTGTCCGCCTTTTATATAGGTAAAGAAATTTTGTTTATTATTTCTGAATAAATAAATAAAAAAGGTACATTATAAATAATATAAAAACACTAGTTTAAGCTAAAAGCCAAAATTATAAGTATTGGTCATCTCTCATTTTTTAAAAAAATGTAAATATTAAGATTATTTCTATATGAAAATATTTTTTTTTATTTTTCGTTATTTTAAAGTTAAGTTTCCAGTGTTTAATTGTCAATAAAAGTTTAGGCAAAAGTCGCTTTTTTATCATTTTTACAGTATCTAGTTTAAGAAAACTATGGCCATTTCCTCCGAATTTACCCTAATTGCATCAATAATAATATTTTTGAAATAAATAGAAATATTTATTTTTATCAAATATTGAATTATTTATCATAATTAGTTATTTTAATTGATACTAATATCCCTTAAATTGCGTCAAATAATTAATTATTTTGCCCAAATACAAAATTCATTTGCATCGAAACAAAGCATTTTTGAATTCAAATAAATATCAATTTGCATTAAATAAATGAATATTTTTCCATTTCCATACGTAAAAATATTATAAAACCGGAGAATTTGCAAAATTTTTTAAAGCTAACACAAACAATAAAAAAATTAAGTATATATGTATATCTCTGGGAAAATATTGTGCAATTAAATGACCTTTCAAACAAGAGAATGAAAAATGAAATCAGTTGATTCGTTTACTCACAAGAGTAAAAAAAACCGTTTCAGTTTTGGGGCCAGTTCGCCCCACTCTCCCCTATATTATATTACTAACATAAAATTTCCTAAAATTAATTGAGCCAAATAATTTGTATTTATATCAAATATCCATTTATTTGAGTGAAATAAATAAACTAATAGTTTCAAAAAACTCATTTATTATCGTTTCAATAAGTGATTTATATGATCCAAATATTTTTTATTTGTTTTTATTAAATAATTTATTTCACTTATAAGAAAAAGTTTGTTAAACTATAGACCAAACTGTTTAATTAACCTATTTTATTTGTTACGAAAACACAATTTTATTGATTCAAATAAAAATTTGGTTCATATTAATAAATACGCAATTTTTTTTTGTTTTGTTGCATTAAATAATGCATTACACAGGAACACAAAAAAGTGGCCTGTTTATTGAACGAGGTCTACATGTCTTATACTATTTTTGCCCGCTGAAAACGAATATAAAGTCAGAATTACTCCATCACCCTCTGTTTTTTATGACATCTGTTTTTTTAAGTCGAAAAAACTACCCTTAAATATACAAAATCAAAGTTTAAAGTAAAAAATGAAATAACAAATTGTTCTTCAAAACAGAACAATAAATTTATGTACATCTCTTTTAACAAATCAGAAACAATGGCAGAATTAAAATATCACCCTTTGTTTTTTAAAATCGAAAAAACCACCCTTAAATGTACAAATTCAAAGTTTTAAGTAAAAAAAATAACACTTTGTTTTTCGAAACTGAACAATAAATTTATGTATTCAATTAATTATTTAATTAACCCAATTAAGATTTATTTGATTCAAATAAATGTGATTCAAATAATTCAAGTTATTTGAAACCAATAAATATTTATGAGATGCAAATAAAAATTATTTGAATCAAATAAATATTTTTCAAATAATTTGAATTAATTAACTTAATCTATAGAGGTTTTAATAATTTCCTAACATTTTTTTTATAAATAAAGAAAAAAACGGATAATTTCAACAATAATCGTTGTTTAAATTTCTTTTTTATAGTAAATAAAAATAAAAAATT